CCGCGGATGCAAGGAACTGTGCCCGTCTGAGCTGCCTCTGTCTTATGTGCCTCATGGCTCCGGAGCCTGAGAGATCGCTCCGCCGCTGCACTGTGGATGGGGGGAGTGACCTCTCTGAGACTCCGGAGCGATGGCATCTGCAGTGTCCTGTCCTCCCGCCTTGAGTTGTGCAGTGGCTCGGTGGGAGGCGGGGCATCTTCAGAGTCCCGGGCTGAGGAGGCTGCGGCGCTCTGTGAGCAGATAAGACAGCTGTGTAGCAATGTGTGTGTTTTGTTCTCTCTCTCTTTCTAGTGATTGTATGAAGGCTTGTTCACACCAGTTGCGGTGCGTTCCAGAGCGGCAGCTGCTGGAACGCACCGCAATCACTCACATTGACTTCGATGCACCGCCATGCACCCACCCGCCCCGGAACGCATGGGGAAGTTTTGTGAACGATTGCGGTGCGTTCCAGAAGCTACCTCTCTGGAACGCACCACAATTGGTATTAAACAAGCCCTCGTACAATTGTAGCGATAACTCCTCGCAAGGAGCCGCTGATTGCCCGCTCTTCATCTAGTCAGTCTAGGGGTTGATTTCCAGCCGTACCCATTAGTGCTAACCGCCCATAAATTGATGTCCACTTCCATATTATGATGCTAATGGAACAATTTATTGAATATATATATATATACTGTAGGAGAGAGGGTCTAGGTGCACAGGCCTCCTTAGCTCCAGACTCACTGGATTCCATTTTAAGGGAATACATCTCCACAATCCATGAAAGAACACCGACCCCGCTCTGAAGTCCATCTAAATCCAAGGCACTTCAAGGTCACTGGTCCTGGTTCTTCCATCTTTCAGGCATTCTCCTGACTGTAAGCCTCCAAAGAAACCTCTCCTTCAGCAGCTCAGCCAAATCCCACCCCCAGGCCTCGGCCTAGCCTGGGGGCAGGCTGACCAGGACCTAGCCCTAAACAGCCCAACTCCATGGATGGTCCAGGCAAGAGAGAGAACACATGGCAGCTCCCACCCATATATGTACACTACCCCAGCAGGCACCACTTGGTGAAACAAGCCCAGTGGTTGGCTGCTGTACTGTACACATATTACAGTGTCTCCTATTGGCTGTCCCCCAATACCCCAGGGGGGTACAGACAAGGTTAGACACCTGGGATTAACCATGTAATTGCTGTTACAAATCCAGCCAGGCTGTCTACAGCCCTGACTATCACTAAATGCAAAGTAGTCACATCACAAAAGGTGATGGGGGCGCTACACAATCATTACAAATTCTTGTGATTGTATAAGACTGAGCAATTACAGTACCCCTCTTGAGACCTTGCACACCCCTACACTCCTCCTGGGACCTTCGGCACCCCTCCTGAAACCCTCTACACCCCTCCAGGGACCTTCGGCACCCCTTCTGAAACCCTCTACACCCCTCCAGGGACCTTCGGCACCTGTCCTTAGACCCTCTGCTCCCATGCTGAGACCTTCCGCACCCTTCCTGAAACCTTCCTGAGACCTTCCGCACCCTCATGAGACCTTCCGCACCCCTCCTGAAACCCTCTACACCCCTCCATGGACCTGCCGCACCCCTCCTGAGACCCTCTGGTCTCATGCTGAGACCTTCCGCGCACCTCCTGAGCCCTTCTCCACCCCTCATGACACTTTT